GACGCATCGCTGGACGGCACCAGCGTCACGACGCGCCCCGGCCGGCCGGGGACGCCGCGGTGATCGCAGCTGCCTTGGTAGAAGACGCGCCGGTAGCCGGCGATGCAGCACGGGTGGCTGCGCGTGTACTCGAACTCCTGCTTCCATAGGATCGAGCCATAGCCGAAGATAAGCACGACGGGGGCGTCAGCGAACGTATCGGTTTCCTGCATACTATAGATGTTTCTATTCTCTCCTTTCCTCCACACACACACACACACACACACACACACACAACGATTTTATCTTTGTGTTTTCTTCTTTGCCTTTGCTCTGCTGCGCTTCATTGTTGTTTTATTTAAGGTGCGAGCACCGCCAAGACGAGGGGAAACAATAGCAATGAAAAAGAGAGAGACCCCCGCCACTCCGTGCAGACATATAAACACACACAGAGAGATGTGTGTATAGTGGACATCCAAGAAGAGACAACCTCGTAGGGATCAACCGACGCAAATGCGGGAGGAAAAAAAGAGGGAAAAACATAATGAATACACAAATCTACAAACAGGAACGAATACGTGGGGTATGGGGGAAGAGACGACAAACTTAGAAAGCGAAACAGACAACATTGCTCAGTCGCTAGGTCATCCTTTCGTTTTTTTTTTCGTATGCCACTGCCTTTGTAAAACTTCAACCACACACAACGCGTGGCAGGGCAGCTGCCCATATTTCATGAGACCTTCCCCTTATCGTTCGCTTCGCCACCGCCGCTGCGGCTCCTGGTTGCTGCTGCGGTGGTGGTGATGGCGTCACTGTCTGTGCTTCTCGAACGGGGTGCGCCCCCGCTCACACGCGCCACTCAACCAGAGTGGTAGCGGCATCGGCGTCGAGGCGCCTCCTGCGTGTAGGCCCGCGGCGTCCGAACTGTGGCTCTCTATCGGGTTGCTGCGGCGGGAGACTCCAGCAGGCAACACCGGCGGCCTCTGGAAGGCCACGCTCGGTGTGTAGAGCGTCCTCTCAGTCAGGAAACACACGGCGTGTAGGAGCGCCACGCTGAACGCCGCGAAGACGGCAACGTCGAGGCTGCACACGACGGCGTAGCCAACGTCCGCCCACGCGCGCGGCACCGGCGCTGCGTGACGGCGTGGCAGCACCACTTCCTTGTACACTGTCGGCAGAAAGGTGAAGACGACGCGCAGAAGCCACAGGGGACCCACCACACGCAGAAGAAGCAGCGCGTCGCCGATCGGCCCTACTAGCAGCCAACACGTACGGAGGATGAAGGAGGCGAGGAGAACGGCGAGCGCAATCAGCACCGCCTCGTGCAGGGCGAGCAGAATGTACGCGACGACGCCACTGAGGAAAGCAATGCGGATGCTCAGCAGTGTGAGGTCGCATGCCATACAGATTACCGTGAGGGTGAGTGACACACGGAACTCCATTTCACCCAATACTCCCTTCCGCTCCCACTCTATCTATTTCTACTATTGTCTACCACGGGCAGTTGCTGTGGTGCTCTCCCTCCGCCAAATCTATACAGGCGTGTAAGCCGGTGCGATTTCCGTCCAGCCGTAGGCAACTGCCATGCACCTACGCACTACCAAACAGAGACAGATTGACGCACAGAGAAAAGAACAATGCTATTATCACCACCGCATCTTATGTCCGTTTCTTCGTTCCATGATATACACTGCCCCAACCACACACACACACACACACACACACAGTGTGTGAGAGAGAGAGAGAGTGATGGATTTGTATATGTCTTTTTTTTTTTCAATCACCATCTTCACATGGCATCCGTAACCAAGCTTCTTCTGTACATTCCAACGAAAAGCAAAGCGAAAAATCAAACCAGCGTAGAAGAAACACACATGACAACCAGCAGTAATACACACAGTCGCATGCGGACTCAGGGCTGCTTCCATCACAAATCAGAGCTTCTCTCCTCCTTCTCAGAGAATTCTCCTTTTTTGTACACAAAAGGCGTCCAAGCGTACGGCTCGCGCCCACCCAGTCGTTGTGTCGGCAATCGGTTGCACACTGGGCACGGCCGTGTCGCATCCACCTTGATGTTTGACAGAAAAGCCGCTGTGGCGGCGGACTCCCGCTCCTCGGGAAGCTTCTCACGGCCAGCATGGACCACAATAGAGTGGGTTTTGCGCCGGCCCGTCGCGCCTTTCACCTCACCAGCGGCGCCGCCACTACCGGTAGCACCAGTACTACTGCTGCTGTCATCACTGCTTCTTCTTGCAGCAGGGGGCAAACCACTGTTAGACGCTTGACTGGGCGTACATGTCGGGAAGTGGGAGGTTTTCCGATCCAATGGGTGCTCGAGCGCCATTGAGGGAGGTGGCGTCTGACTATCCAGTGGAGTACTGTCCGTCGAGAAGGAGCCGTTCAGGCGCGCCACGACAGGACTGTCGTCGTCTAACAGTGCCTCGCTACCGGGCGTGTCATTCTTGCTCGGATCATCGAACCGTGGCATCCGAAGCGGTGTCGATGCTGCTGCTGCCGCACGGGAGAGGCGTTGCTGCACTGAGGGCGGCCGCTGCTGATGGTTATGTGTATTCTCCCCTGTACTCGAAACTTCGTCGTCTGTGTCTGGAAAGGATGGCAGGAATCGCCGCGCACATTTTGATGCACGAGCCATTGGCATGCCGCTTTGGCGCCGCTGCGCCGCGGTGGCTCTCGCGAACGCCCCAAGTGCATTATGATGCAACTGCTTTCGGCGGCGGTAGGCGCGGTAAGTGTGCTGAATGATATACGCCGCCTCTTCCCGCCGGCTGAGGCCCGACGGGATGCGAATGTTTAGCGTGTCTTCACCGGTGGCGGGGTCGACGCTGTACTCGGTGTCCGTTGATACCATTGCCACGCGCCCGCTGGCAAAGAAGGGGTGAAGCAGAATCTGCTCCACCCGCATGCGCCGCGATGGGACGGGGTGCAGAAGCCACATGAGAAGATCCTTTGCGTCGGGGGAGAGGCCGGGATCGGGCGGCCGGATGCGGTGATATAGAATGTTCTTGGTCGTGTTGGCGCCATCGTGTGGGTAACGGCCGTGGTGAAGCATGAAGTACAGCAGCACCCCCATTGACCACGCATCGGCAAGGTACGGATCGTACTTCTCGTTGCGCAGCACCTCGGGCGCCACCGTATGCGTGGTGCCGCGCACGTCGCAACATAGTTTTCCCTTTGGGAAGTACGTACAAGAGACGAGAAAACCGATCTTCACTTGGTCTCGGTCATTCACCATCACGTGGTCCGGTGCAATACTGAGGTGCACAACATTGCGGTTGTGCATATGAAGCAACCCACGAACCACCTGAGCGTAGTAGTGCTTTGTTTTCTGAAGCGGGATCGACACCGGCTGCCCAGAGGCTGTCTCACTGGTGTACAGTCTTGTTATGTGTGTCGGTGAGAAGTACTGCATGAGAATATACAGCGACGACTGCGTCTCGAAGCACTCACTGGTCTCAATGATATTCTCGTGCTTGGGCAGCGTGCGCATGACGTGAATGGCGTCACGGGTGCGGTCCCACATCCACTGCGCCTCAGACAAGACACCCTTGTCGTAAATGCGCACAACGTACTGCGCACCTGTCACAATGTGCGTACAGAGACGTGTGCGGCAGTCGAAGTAACCGGAGGCGAGGACGCGACCCAACTCATACTTCCCCACGATCTTCTTATGGGACGTCGCCATCGTGGCAGCCCTTTGCACAGGCAACGATGAAAAGAGAAGAGGGAAAAAGAAAACATGAACAACATTCACCCAGACACATCGTTCGTGACTTACATTACCCGCAGGCAAGCAGATGCTACACGGGTCCAACGCCATGCACAACACACTTCTACACAGCGTATATATATATATATATATATATATATATGTGTGTACCTTATGCGTCTGTAAATGAGAGACCCCACCATTCTCCTGCTACTTCCTCACCGCGGCAACTCCTNGACTTACATTACCCGCAGGCAAGCAGATGCTACACGGGTCCAACGCCATGCACAACACACTTCTACACAGCGTATATATATATATATATGTGTGTACCTTATGCGTCTGTAAATGAGAGACCCCACCATTCTCCTGCTACTTCCTCACCGCGGCAACTCCTTACCGTCTATATCGCTGTACACCTTCCCACGCACCTCATCGCGGAACCCATTGTAGCGGTTCATTGCCTTTTTCTGCACGCGCTCTGTGAGTGAGCGGTCACCGTACGTCGTAGCGCTGTTGGGATCATTCTCGTCCTCCACCTCACCTTCCATCTTGTACAGAAGCGTCTTCTCCACCTCTTGCACCAGCCATGCTGAAACCGGCGTTGCAACCGGCGGATCTGCGCCGAAGCAGCGCTGGAACAGCGTACCCGGGTTGAAGCGCAGCACCGTGGCGGTGTTCGGCAGCGACGGGGTGCTCCAAAGCATCTGCCGGTAGACGGAGCCGCCAAGGCCCTGCATGTTCACCTCACGCGCGAGTGAGAGACGATGCAGCGCACTCTCATTGTCGAGAAAGCCGTCCACCACCCGCGTGTTCGGGTCGAACAGCGTTTTCCCGGTATCCTGGAGTGTCAGATGGAAGTCCAGGCCGGGCACGCGCAGTTCGTACGGCGTAGTGTAGCGGTTCTCCGAGGCGTCAAAGATGCCATCGATGCAAACCTCATTCTTCCAATCAAGGTTGATAGCAAAGATCTTCTGTGGCAGCCTCCCCCAGCAGATACTGCGGCAGATGGAGTTCGCCATCCATGCGGTGCGCTGCCAGTGGATGCGGTCCATCACGGAGACACGCAGGGTGAGCGTTGAGTGTGGGGCGGGGTCGAAGCAGCGCTCGAGCCATGTCTGCTGAGCTGGATAGTTCCGCCCTGCTATAAGCGTCACGAGTCCCAGCGGCACGGGCTTGTTCTCCTCACTAGCAGTGGGCTCGGCGGCGGCCTCTTCCCCACTCTTCGGTGATGACGACGACGCGGCGGCTCCTGCCCCTCCTGGAGGGGGAGAAACTAGTAACTCGCCAAACTGCTCCGCCTCGTATCGTCGGTGGAGAACGTGCTGGAGGCTCTCCAGAGGCATGTACCACGTCACAATGGCGGCATCGGTCGTGCGGATTGCTGTTGCCACTTGGTCGGGGTCAGACGGGCGCATGATCAGATGGTCCAGCGGGGCGCGGATGCGACGTGTGCAGCGGGCTGCTGTCGCGGCGACCCGGCTCATTTTCTCTTGTCTCGCCTGCCCACATGGTATTGGATGAGATTAAATCAAGTGAAAAGGAAATTGCGACCCCAACAACACCAACAAGACCGAAAGAGACAAACACACACACACACAACACCAGCGTTATGCATTAAAACGAAAAAAAAAAAACTGTTTTCACTGTGAAGACTGAGAGATTGCAAACTCCCCGGCGACAGGGTGCGCCGCACATGGGGAGATCAGCGCCGCGGCGTACGTGCTGTAACACACATCACGAGCTGCGTCTGTGAGGAACAAAAATTGTGATTGTATTAGTGATGATGGTGATTGCTGTGCGGCATTCGTTTTACTGCCAATGTGACAACTTTGTGGCCGTCGTCGCAGGCCCTGTGGTATCTCTTCCCCTGCCCACGCCCGCACGCGTCGTTTTTCTTTTGTCATCGTTTCACAAACTGGAGTAACTGAACACATGCCCACTGGCAGGAAAAAAAAAAAAATGGCCGCACCTCATGCAATGACCACCCACTAGGGTGAAGTATGTCAGAAAATCAAAACTGCGTTTCTTCCCCCCTTGCTTTGCTGTGAGGAAATAACACCACCACGCGTCGCATTCGATGAAGCACAATGCCATCGATATGCGTGACGGCGGCAGTGCCATTGGACGCGCTTAGTGCTGCTCTTCACAAGCCCGTATTGGTGCCACGGCGAACACGGCGTCTAATATATGGCCGGGGCCGCTGCGGCCGTGGCGCCGAGAGCAGAGGCACCACCCTCCGGTTACCAAGAAGAAACTCGCTTTGCTGCCGCTGCTGCTGCTGCATTCTGGACATAAGCTGAGCCACCCGTCGTTTATCGGCCAAATGAATGAGGGCCATACAGAAGATAACCGCCAACGCGACGAACCACCACCGTGACCGCTTCAGGCACGTACCACCACGCGGCAGTGTTGATTCATTTCGCTGCTGCTGCTGCTGCTGCTTATCCACATTTTCAGCGGTGTGCACCTTCTTGTTGCGCGGCGAAGCAAGCTCTTCAAGGCACGCTGCGAGCTCCACAAGCGGCCTGCCGTGCTGCGGATCCTTTTGAAGCACACCTGCCGCGGCCTTTCGAAGGTCAACAGAGAGCGCATCGTGATTCTGCGACGTCATGGTGAACAGGACGGCAATAATGGCGAACACATCAGCGGCCTCTGTGAAGGCGTGGCACTGGAACGGTGGCAACTGCTCTTGCTGTTGCTTTGGGACCCATTCCGGTAGTGTGTAGTTGCAGTGGGCGCCGCTACGACCAGCACCATCATCAACAGCAGCAGGGAAGTGACGGTGCGATTGCTGTGGTGGCACGTGTGCGACCGCAAACCCCGTCACACATGCATGCCCATGCGGGTCCAGCAGAATCGTCCACGGCGACAACGCACCGTGCACGATGCCGTGGTTGTGGAGGAATAACACACCGGCAATCACCTCTTGTGTGATGTGGAGCAAATGCAACGGCGTTACTGCGTGGTGAATGAGGCATGGATACGACCCCAACGCTGCAGCCAGTGGCTGCATGCCATCCACGTACGCGTGCACTGACAGCAGCTCCTGTTTCTCATTGTCCATCAGCACATCCAACACCTGATTTACGCATGTGTGGCGGAGATTCCTCAGACCTCGCATCTGCGACTTCCACAGAGGTGTGAAGGGGACAAGACGCCCATCAACTGGATCCTCGCTTACAATACACTCGCACGTGAGGTCGCTGGCGTCGCAGCGATAGCAGTAGCGCCGCGTTGTGACAAGCCTACCAGTAATGGCATCTCTGGCTAGCATGACAATGCATGCACTCCGAGACCCCCAGTTCAGTGGGAGAAGCGCCCTGTATCGCTGCTGCTCCCATTCCTTCATTGCTTGCTGCTGTTTCTGCTGCCGGAGGCCGTCAGTAGCTGCTTCTGGCTTCATGCCGATGCGTAGGACATTCTCGGTGGTAGCCGCTGGGAGCACCAGGGGCGAAATACAGCCTTCACTGTCACCGCTGCTGCTTCTGCTTTTGCTCCTGTATGCTGGTGATACCTTGCTTCGAGACATAGCCGGGCCGTCAATCACGGCGAGCGGCTGCCGGGTGCTCAAGACACGAGGGGGCGATGTGTCTCGGCTCTCGTCACTGCCACGCATGCCGTTCATATGGCCCCCTTTTCCACACAACATACACACCGGTGAAAGGCCCATTTTGCCGATGGAGAACACCACCGCCACCACCCAAAAGAATAAAAAAAAAAAAACAAAAACAAAAAAAAACGAGGAAAAAAGAAAGAACACATGTCCAAGAAGGCACTCGCACAAGAGATGTTCCCTCCCTCATCTCAATACACAGGAGAGCCGTGGACCTCGTCTTTTTTTGTTTGTTTGTTTTCCTGCAAGCGGACTCACGCACGCATGTATAGAGGCGATGGAGCACATTGTCCATATTGCGGGTGCCCCCCATCAACACAAATATGGGGATGTAAACATACGTCCACGTGCTCCTCGCCCACACTCCATCCCTCTCTCCTTTCCACTCTTGTTTCATCTCGCCATATTTGTATGCATCGCTCCTTTCACTTCCTTGTACTCTTTCTCACTCTCCCTTCTCTCTCTCTCCCTCTCGCTCTCATCTCTCTCAGACAGTCAGGCGTCCCTTTAGTACGTCCTTACCTGATAGTCGCCACTCTTTGTGACGTAGCGCACCCACGGCAGCGCCTCGTAGTTGGACTTCTCCGTGACCTTCAAGTAGCGCACCTGAAAGCCCGACGCAGTGAAGTACGGGATCTCAAACTTCACTTGAATCGGCGCCTTTGCGAACGCCTTGGGGTCGCTGCTGCGCACCGACGGCAGGTGGAACTTGCAGAAGCAGCTGAACTGCTTCCCACCACCGAGGCTGCGCAGGCTCCAGATGAGCATGCTCGACTCGGGCGAGTAGCGCAGCTTGCCGAGCGAACACTTCGCCTCCGGCTTGTCGGCATCGCTCGGAATCGGGATGAGAATATCAACAAAATTCGCCGCCGTGTTGCGGCGGTACGTCGTGCGCGCGTTAATCGTCATCTCCACCTGCGTCGCACTCCTGCTGGCGAAGACGCAATCGACATGCACAAGCGGCGTTATCTTCTTGTTGGTGCGGTACGTCATGAGCTCGAAGTCGCCGTCGGGCGGGATGAAGGTGATGATGCGGTCGTTCTCGAACTGGTCGAGGCGCACACACTGATGCAGCTTCACATCTGCCATCTCTACGGAGCGCCCGCTGCGGCCGGTCATGTCGAGCATCGCCTTGTCGTTGAGGCCGAGCCGCAGCGTCGGCATGCCTGAGAGCCGCACACGCATCTTGAGTTGACCGACAATCTCGCTCGACAGCGTCTCGCCTTCGGGCGACACGAGAAGGTTGATGCTCTCCACCACGTCGAGGTACGCCTCGTTCTTGCGGTACTTGTACTTGCCCGGCATGCGCCATGGCGTGCCACCGCCCATGCCCGTCACGGCTGCTGGCAGCGCNCTCGTTCTTGCGGTACTTGTACTTGCCCGGCATGCGCCATGGCGTGCCACCGCCCATGCCCGTCACGGCTGCTGGCAGCGCCTTGACGCGCAGCTTGTCCTCCGGCAGCAGATACGAGATGAGACCCTCCTGCGTGATGTACTCCTGCAGCACCTTCTCCTCGGTGTACTGCGGCAGGCCAAAGTCGCACATCTCATCCATCAGCTCGTAGACAATGACAAAGTTGTCCACGATGGTCTCCTCCGAGACATGTTTGAAGTAGCTTTCGAATACAGGAACGCAGCGGCGCATGAAGGAGATCTGCTGCAGAGGGCACGTGTTGATTTTGCTCACCATGAGGAAGAAGACATCGTTGACGCGGATGAAGCAGTACGTGTGGCCCTGCTCCTCAAACACGGGGGTTATGCGGAACTCCTCCTCGTCCAGCACGCGTCGCTGAAAGACGGCTGGTGGGTTCTGCGCAATATCGCCGCGGTACGAGCGGCAGATGATCGGGGTGCCCTTGCTATCGAGAATGTAAAACACCGACGCCATTTTGCGATGTGAGCCAGGATGAGAAACCTAGATTGATGCTGCTGCTGCTGCTTCTGATGTGCGCTTCCCTCCCCACTGCGGGAGAAAACAAAAGAGGAACGACAATTACACTCCACCAGCGAGGCGGGAAAACGAAAGCAAACAGACCCACATCCTCAACGGCAGCAACAACAACACACAGTCGCGAGCAGAAACTGTGAATCAGCACAAACAGATGGAAACAGCGTGCGAGCGAGAGAGAGAGAGAGAGCGAGAGAGAGATTGGGGTGGACACAACGACACAGGCGGATACTCCCACCACACAAACCCTCCAAGCACATACTTCCTCACAAGCTACTCTGTACAAACGGCATAACCACAACGCACCGCTTATAATCCACCCGCAACACTTGCCCATCCCACGTCAATTCCATCGATTCGACAAGCGATACTCCTTCATTTCTCAACTCTTCCACCGCCTCCCACAGTGCCGCATTTTCCCACATCACACCCCACCTCACAGCGCAGTACGTATGCCGCGGATGCAGAGCCCACACCATACCCACAGTGAGGACGTATGCCTTATCAAGATTGCCACAGAAAGGGCGCGGTGCTCATATCGCGGGAAAAACCACGACACCACCACCACCACCGCTGAAAAGCGAAGCCCAGCGCCATGTAGCCCGCTCCATCTTCCCACTGGCACCGCCTGCGTGGGGAAGTCAGCGCCAAGTGCGGATATGTGGGAGAGTGCCGTCGGCGTCGTGTCCAGGCAGCATGAACAGCTCCAGCGCGGTGGATGCCGGTGCTGTCTGTCAGCCCCACATCGCACTCTCGCTGGAAGTCGTTAAGTCCTGCATCGGCATGATCCTTGTGTAAGCAGCGGCGCGCCGATCAACACATGTCTCACGCCGTCCTCCTCTCTTTTGTGGCGGCACAGTAATGCGAAACATGGCATTGCCGCACCTGTTCGGTCCAAGGGGGTTGCGTGTCATGCATCGCCGCAGCGCAGTCTGCAGTCAGCGGAGGGGTACCCATTCACTGGCACACCTCTGGAGAACTCACCGGACTTCACAACGAAGACACGTAAGCTCCTGCCTGTCCACGTCTCGTCATCGGGTAGCTTCTACCCTTATTACTCCGCCTTGCTTTCATCCGGTGTGGTGTATGCGTCTGAGCATGGCACTTGAGAGAATTGAAGTGTGAGAAAGGCAGTGGTTTACGCGGCTGCAAGAGTCCTCTGAGCGCAACCCTCCCCCAAGACCCGTAGAACACACACGCACACAGAGATGTACGCGCGCGCACACACACACACACAGAAGCAGAAGAACGAAAGAAAGAAAAAAAAAAAAAACGGATGTATTCGCATTATCGCTGCCCCGGAAAGACTCCCAAACACACACTCTACAACGTCTGGATGTTATTCATTGGCCTAGCCCCCTCACTTCTTCATATTCTTTGCTCGTGGCTTTCACGCGGTCATGTGGGAACCGTCTTTTCATCTTTCACGTTTGTCTCGTGTCTCAGCACTCGGCCAGAGACCACGCGACCAGGCAGACGCTGCGCTCATACCACGCCCGCATTGGTGCCTTGGCTGGATCTACAGTGAGCTCCACCACCTCTAGCATTGCTTCGCGCCTTGGGTTCACGTAAAATGGCGTCAAACGTCGTGCACTCACCGGGTCCTGCGAAGCAAGACGCATTAACAGCGACGACTTTGACACGAGCGTCGACACGTCACCTGCAACGGGTTCTGCCGTCACTTCCCAGCGGAGGAGGGCGCCCACAGCCGTCGCGGGTGCTGCGGAGGCAGTAGGGAGGAGCTCGCATTTACGGCTCCCGCCACTGTCGTTGACGCGAGCGGAGTATAGCGTCAGACCAACGATGTGCCACACGCCCGACTTCTTGCTGCTTGTGTGCTCGGCGTGCTCACGCACGGCAGCCTCGGGCAGCAGCTCGAGAGACAGCTCCATCTGCTCCAACGACCGGTTCTGGTGTCGCGCGGCCTGCTGCTTTGTCGCTGTGAGGAATGCACCCGGCCAGAAGAGAAGACCGAGGGAGAGCCACGCCCCTTCAAACGTCGTCTTCCGCACAGCCTCGTGTAGCAGCTGGGCGTGGGAGGCGCGGCTTCTAAAATCAGCCATCCACTGATCTGCTGCTGTTGGATACGTCTGGTACGAGCGTGCCCAGCTTGGCGGCACTTGATCCTTTAGCAGGTGATCCATGATTGTGCGCTGTATCGCCGCTGGATTCCGTACCCCTGCACAGATTTCTTGCAGCGCGTGCATATCGTCGAGGATCTCGCGCATCCGATTGAGCGCAAAGGCGCACTCGCGCTCAATGGCCATCACCGCAGGCTCTGGGGTGCTGCACGTCTGCGCTCCTTCTCCCCCAGCCTCTGCCGTCGCTGCTGCTAGTAGTGGTGGTGTCACGGTTGCTTTTGCCTTTTCGCTCATAACATTGAGCGGGCCATACCACGCGCTACAGAAACGCTGGATCTTCTGCACCCACCACGTATCTCTCACACCACGTGGGGCCGACGACTGCACCGGGTCATTACGGTCGATCTCGTCGCAGTTACCGTGGCGCTTCTGCTCGCCGAGCCCTTCAGTATCCTTCTCGTCGATGAGCCGCACCGCCGCGAGCCGCTCCACCGTCGCAACGGCGTACTGCGCCGACATGACGCGAGAGGCACTAGCCGGCAGGCGCGCCCACAAAGGCGTCTCGGCGTCTGGCAGAGCACGAACCCACGCCTGCACGTCCTGCAGCGACACCATCGACCCGCACTTAAGACGTGTGTTGGTCTCCTCGTCGTCTGTGAGGGCAAAGAACTGGTCATCGTCGAAGACAGCAGCACGCATAAGTTGCGAGCACAATAGGTCCAGCAGGATCTGATCAAACTCATTGCTGATTTTTCCACCGTACAGCGTCGTGCCGATGATGGTCTGCAGCGCGGGCCATGGAACGCGATCGCGATCGATCATCTTCGCACCTGTCATTCCCTTCTTGCCGCCGCTGCTGCTACTACTACTTGCTGCCGTCATCCACCGGTCCACGGCCTGCAGAATGCGCCAGAACTCCGTGTCGTTGAATTCGTAGCGTGTGCTCCAGCCCATTGGAACGTACAACAACCGCTCCATCACCACTGCGTGCAGCCACGCCGCCGCGAGGTACACGCGCTGCATGTTCGCCGACTGATTGGCATGCGATGAGAACGGCTTCAGCGCCCCAATCGTCTGCATCAGCGACGACTTCATCCCCGGCGGCGGCTCGTATACAAGCACGACCGACGCTTCTACGAGACTCGCAGGAAGTTGCGCCGACGGCTCTTCACTGCCTGTAGCGCTTGCTGTTGCTGCCGCCGCCTCAATCGAGAACACGAGGCGGAAGTTGCGGTGCAGGCGGCCCTCTGCACGCTCGCGGTGCACGCGCTTCTCCACTGCGTCGGCGTACGCCCGCGCGAGATGGATGTTCTTCAGCAGCACCCACGAGCCGTCGGTCATGGCATCGGCCAAGTAGCGCTCCGCCGCGTCGAGACCGGTCGCACTGCCCATCACCGCAACGCGCAGCGACACGTCCATCGCGCGTGCAAGCGCCTCGAGTGGCAGTGTCGGGTCGCTCCCTGCGTTCGCAACGAGGATTAGCGGTGTACTGTCCGACAACTCCGCCTGCACCGCGGCGAGGTCGTGCGTATCTGCACTGAAGAAGGAGCCACCGACTTCGTTCTTGCTCCTGCTACTGCTACTTGGCTCGCCACCACCGGCGCCATCAAAGAAGAGGCGCAGAAGCTCGTACACCGCCGGTGCAAACGCGTCACGCCGTGTATGGAGAAGCAGGAAGGTAGCAAGAAACGCGCGTCGGGTGAGACCCACATCCCTGCTGCTGCTGCTGTTGTCATTGTCGTCGTTGGCAGTGTCGGCCTTGAATGCCGGCAGCACCTCGGTGTGCGGGGCAGTAGATGCAAAGTATGCTCGCCAGGCTGATGCGTGCTGGGGGTTCTGCAGTGACTCCCGCACCACAGCAAAAAGGGGTCGCTGCAGCAACGCGGCGAGGGCGACCTCCGACGACGGCACACACACGCCACTCTCACACACAATGGCGGGGAGCCTACGAACAGCATCATCGCCACCACCACCACCACCAGATGGGCTCTGTAAAGCGTCATCGAACCAGCTCCACTCCTCTGGCGTGATCTGTTTTCCCACACTGTCCGCAATGCAGCTGCGCAGCTTACCGAGAACAATGGCGAGAACGAGGTGGTCCTGTGCAAACATGCCGCGCCGAACACGGTGGTGGGCCAGGTTGAAGATGTGACACGTCAGAGCTTGCAATCTCTCTTCGTCCTTCTCATGCACGTTGCTGTTGTCATAGGCTTCAGTGGCAGTGGCTGGACGCGGTGGCAACGCCGAAAGCGCGTCTGCAATGAGGCGGAAGATGAAGTCTACATTGTAGTGGTACAGCGCATGCAGTTGTGAGAAACGACGCAACGCAAAGTACATCTTCGCTACCGCTGCAGCGAGTGGTTGGTACTGTGCCTCCACCGCCGCAATGGCCTGCATTGACGCGTCACTCTCCGCAATATCTCCCTTCAATGCTTGTGTCTCTCCCTTAAGCCGCTCCAGCGCCACCGTCAGAGCATCATTCTCTAGCAGACTCCCCTCACTGCGCGCGATGGAGGTGAGCAACTCCTGCTCCAGAACGCGCAGTCGTAGCTGGTACTCGCCCTGCACGCGCAGAATGTGTGACCGCCGCGCGTCAAGCTCGGGGTGTTCGTGCAGTAGCACGCGGTGACGGCACTGCGACTGCAGTGACGACGGCGTCACAGTGAAGTTCACAAGGCACACCTGCCCCGCCATGCCAGGCGAGGGTTGGTAGTACGAGTCGCGTGTGACAAGGAAGAGGCGGAAGGCCGCGGCCATTTCCACGTCCTGCGCACCGAGCCGCGTCAATGTGTGGCCACCAACGCGGTGTGTCTCGTGATTCATGAGTGGACTCAGCGCGGGATCGATAAGCTCCGCGTCCTGGACCAGAATCGGGTAGCCGAAGCGCACCGCCATGTCGAGCTGCTTGAGATAACCCGGTTTGCTGAAGCTTGACTTGTTAATCTTATCCTTGGCGTGCAGCCGCAGCAGAAACTCTGCTGCGACACCGCTCGGGTCGATGAGCAGCGGGTAGCGCTGACAGCGACTGAGGATCATCGCGTTCTCCACGCACAGGTGGTCCTTTGGCAGTCCATGTTGCTCCCAGGAGAGCCGTTCCTGCGGCGTGACGAGGTACTCCACCACACTGCGTAGCCCCTCACGCACCGGCAGTTGCAGCTGCTGCAGACACTGCCGCCAGCGTGGGAACAGCAGCGATTGGCGGGTGCGCTCGTCAAAGTAGCCAAAATACGCGAGTGACGCCGCAGCAAGGGCGCAGTCACCGAGAATGGTACGCACCTCCGTGTCGTAACCCATCGCCTCGGATTCCCACCGCCCGCGCTCATCTAGCAGCTGCTGCAGCAGTGTCGTAGCCCGCTCACAACGCGCCGCAACGCCGCCCATCGTGCTCTTAATTGTCGCCATCTCCTCCGTCATGGCTTGATACTCTGCCTTGAGCTGCAGCAGCGACGCTTCCATCGCCTGTATCTGCGCCTCTGTCCGCGTGAGAGCGGCCCGCTTCGCATTGTACTCGACAGCGAGCTGATCGATGCGTGTGCGCAGCGGCTCCATCGCTGCGAATATTGCCGCGTAGTTTGTTTGCGCCTGCGCCCACAGCAGCAGTGGGCCTGCCGCCTTGGACGCGCGACGCGCCGCCTCATATGTGAAACCATCGTCCTCCAGCATCACCCGCACCGTCTCGCGCGCCTCCTCCGTGACGCTGCGCGGCTGAAACGCCTTCACACCCGCGAGGAAGTCGTCACGGCGGATGTGATGCTTAATGACATCCCACTCGTCGGCGCGCTTCTCACCCATAACGACAAGTACCATCTCAAGCACACGCTTCACCATCATCGGTGGCGTCGTGTAGGCGCGTATCTCGCGCAGGTACTCCGGCTTGATCGTGTTGAGCGCCACCTCCGCTTCGCGCAGCGCCGGCTCCGCCTCTGAGAGTTGCTGCTGCACACGTGCTTTGTCGGCCAGAATGATCTCCTCCTCCTCCTGCAGCTGCACGCGTAGCTGCTCCGCCGCCTTCTTCTCTCGCTTTGTTGTCTCCGTGTCGGTAACGATGCGGTCGAGCATCAGCTGCGCCTTTTTGCTGTTCGCTGCAAGCACCACTTCATGCTCTCTGAGTTTTGCACGCTGAAGCTCAACTTCCTCAGAGGCATCGTCGAGCTTGCCAAGGCCGCTGCGCAGGTGGGCGAGCTGCTCCTTCGACCCTCCCTTCTTCTCCTCATACAACAGCTGCAGCTGCTGCACAAAGTCGGCAAAGTGGCGTGGCGTAATGAATGTGCCGTGGTGGGCGTTCTGCAGCCGCACCACACGATTTACCTCATCCGTGATCTCGTGGATACGGCACAGCGCGTAAGCCAATGTGTCGCGAGCCTCGTTCTCGCGCTGCTGAAAGATCGCTCCGCAGGAGAACATGACATCAATGTGCTGCGTGAGCTGCTGCGTCACCTGATACCGTGTACCGCGGTCCCAGTCGCCGAACCAGTCAATGGTGCAGCGGTTAAAGAGAGCCGGACTCGCCACCGCGCGACTCGCGAACTCCCCAGATGACGGATCAATAGTAAAGACAACATGTAGGTTGCGCTTCACGTTGCTGAGGAACCAGCGGTAGAGGTCCTGCTCCGACGTTGTGTCTACATAAGTGGCAGACGCCATTGTATCGAGCGCCTCCTGAGGCGGCACCCTGTTACCCTCATCGCCGCCACCGCTGCCAGCCACAGCAGCACCTCCAGTGCTGTTTTTGTTGACGTTGTCGTTAGTGTTTAATGAAACCAAACCTGACACTTGCTGTTGCTGTTGTTGTGCCAACTTTTGCGGCTTGCTGCTGGCATTGAGTAACTGCTGCGCTTGAACGCTGTCGCGAATCTCTTCCATAAGTTTTGCCCACTCCTCGCCGTCAAACAGCCCAGGCACTTCACCAGACGCCAGAAGGGCGTTCATGTACTCCAGGAAACTCGCCTCCATGATGTTGCTGTCGTCGAAGATAAAGCAGATGCGCTCCAGCTTGCAGCCGGCACGTCGAAGAATGTCGCGCAGATCCCGCTCGTAATCTTCCAACTGGTAGTTGCGATGCACACCGAGTCGAAACACCGTCATGCCATTCATCCACGCCACGAGCCGCGCCACCATTGTCTTGCCCACACCAGAGGACCCAGCGAGCAGCACATGCCCCATTGGCTGCCGCAACACACGGTCGATGCGTGTGACGTGGTCGACCATCGCGTCGTACACGACAAGCGCCGCGTCTACTTCCTCCTCGCAGAACGCCTCCAGTTTATGCTCAATGTGCGTCCGCAGCACATCGCGGGTACACTCCGAGTAGGCACGGTGCAGGATCGTCGAGTACAGCAGTGGGCGCCGCAGCGCCGACGCCAGCGTGACGGCGTCGCGGAAGCGTGCAGTGAAGCAGCGGTCGATGGCGGCGTCCGTCCACTTCTCCTCGTCGCTCTCCACGAGGCGGTCCTGAAACACGCGCAGCCCCTCGTGTACGGCGAGCCGCACGAGGCCGTCCGCACGCAACGCGCGCCGCTCGGCGTCATCCCACGTCAGTAAACCCTCGTGGATCGCGCGTGTCCAGCGCGAGAGGTCACGCGGGGAGTAGACGTAATGCGGCTGCTGCCACGAACTGAAGCGGGCCTGTGTCGCCGCGTACATGTCCACCATCGCCCACGCCAGCTTCTCCGCGTATGACTGCTGCAGTTGTCTATTAAAGGCAAGTATGGCACGGCAGTACGCGGTGTAGATGATGTGCAAGCTCTCCTCCGTGGGGAAGTCAACGAGCAGTACAGGCGCCCAGCGCAGGAACCGATGTGACAAAGACACACGCCCCACATCTGTAGGGGGGTTGCAAGCGCCTATCACCTGCACTCCTTCCACCGTAATCCAGGCGTTGTCACGGCTGCGGTAGTAGCCGCCACGCTCAATGAGTTGCCGCAACAGCTGAACGACTGGTTGCGTACCATACTGATCCAGCGCTGGAAGGTTGATCTCATCACAGAACAACAGCAGCCGTTTCCCGCTAGTGGGTGACATGACGTGGCCGCGAGCAGTGTTCTGCACGGTGCAGTACTGCTCTAAGGCGCGAATGACATTCTCCGGACGTGCACCGCTTGAGAAGTTCAGGAACACCGCGTCGTGCTCGGCGGAGCGGCGCAGTATGGAAGTGATCGACATAGTCTTGCCGGAGCCGGGTGGCCCGCAGAGAATCGTCGCATTTCCGCCGCTGATCCACGCATGCAGAATGGCCTCGTGCCTACAAGTGTCGACTGTGGGAATGACGGTATCGTTTGCACCAACCTGCTCTGCACGTACAACTGTCTCTTGCACACGTTCACGGATGACGCACCACGTCCCACGCGCAGGGTTTGGCTCCACATCCAACAGTGAGAGACCTTCAGTTGCTGCTTCTGTTGTTGGTGGCGCAAGGTCCAGGTCTGTCACAATATGATTGCGCAGATCGTGGCTGAGTGAGGCACCGAAGCCCCACAGAACGGCGTAGTGCAGCAGCTTCTCGGCGTAGCTCTGCAGGATTCTCGTAGAGGGAAGAGATTCTTGTTCTTCACGCAACATCCACACTTGCCATATACCGTCAAGCAGCAGTGAATGCACACTGCGAAGCAGCTGCAAGTCATTATTCTCCATAACACCCTTCTTCCAGTACCGCTCGCTGTGGATGAGGCGAAGCGCGCGTTCCACCATGCCATCCTTCGCAAAGGCCGGGGCCCACACGTTTGCCATGAGTACCTGCAGCTGCAACACTTCGCGGTCAACATCGGTAAGGGCGTTAGCACGCCGCAGAGATGCCACCTTAGAGGTGGCATTGAGACTGTCAGCTAAGGCATCTTCATGCGTAGCGGAGGTGAGGGTCCCAGCCAGCGGACTTGCATTGCTCTCTAATGCCGCGTTTGCTCCTGTTCCCGACATGGGGGCATCCAACGGGGCCTCGCCACGGTCCGTACCGCTTCGGGGGACCATGAAATAATTTCCGCCCCACCGCACTTGCTGCCCCTCGTCGTCGAGACCGCCACATACGTCAGCGAGTCGCTTCCTGCCATGCCGGTCAATGAGCGGGGCGCGGTAAAAGGCACCGAGCTGGCGGCTTAGCAGACTCGCGATTGGCACTGTGCCGCTACTGAACCACACCATGCCGCACCGCGACACCGTTGCTGGTGTGGCGTAGCGCAGATCCTGCACCTCAAAGACAATGCGCACAGACGGCGGTAGACTGAGCCGCTCGCCATTCGGAAGCGTGTACACCTTGTTATCATCGAGTAGTGAGTTGAGGTTCTCCACCCAGTTCGGGTCCACGTCACCGTCGAACACGATCCAGTGTTGCTGGTGAGCGCGGTCGTCACCCATCGCATTGTTGACGATGCGGCGCAGTATCTCTGTAAAGACCCCGTCCTTCCACTCCCGCGTAGTTGCCTCAAACACACCAAAGAGTTCAGCCTTACTCATTGCCTTTGGATCGATGATGTACGCGTGTGCCTCAAGCGGGCCACTACCGTCGTTTCTTCCACCATCCATATTGTCACTGTCATCCATCACTGGGAGACGTGCCATGGCTCGAAGGAGCGTTTTCCAGCAAGCCGTCTTCCCTGTGCCGCTTGGTCCCACAAGCATGAGACCGTGACGCATCTTGCGTGTGTGGTAGAGCTGGCATACTTTCTCCACCCACGCCGGTGTAGCAGCGTAGCGGCTAGCGCGGCACACCTCTTCAATGGCTGCCCGCAGAGCCGTCATATCGGCACCAGGGAGCTCACGGCCTGGGAAGAAGTCGCGCAGTAGCGGATAGAAGAGTGCGACGTCCTCCGTGACAAGGCGCGGGGTGACGCTGCTGATGAGACTGCGCAGTACCAACTCACACTCCACGTCATCAAGTTCAGCAACGTTGGAGCCAGCAACAACGGATGTCGCCGTTTCTTCCGGAGTTGTCTCGCTTCGAAGTGGCGCGGCCCGCTTGAGGTCGCCGGCTGTCACGAGGACAGACTTCAGCGCCCGAAGTCCAAAGTCATAGTGCGCCTGCCGCGACAGATGCTCCTCGCACAGGTGAAACAATGGCACGATCTTCCGCGAGAGCGACTCCGCGGTGCGAAACCCCTGAGCGAAGAGCATTACTTCCGCAATCGTCTCGCGGTCCGGCGCCGCCATGGTCATGGTGCGGAACAGCTGCTTCAGATTACCCGGCAGATTGGAACGGCCCGCAAACCCCGGGTTCATTGTAATAAAGAGCGCCACGTTCTCGCGCAGCGGCACCGTCTGCTGTGCGAGCGTCACGCTGCCGGACTGCGTGCGCAGGGCCTCCTGTATGGTCTGTATCTGCTGTGACACCGCAGACAGCACGCGTTCCTCTAAGCGGTTGAACTCGTCAAAGCAACCCCAAGAGCCGACTTGGCAGAGACCGAGGAAGATGCGACCCACCGCATCAAAATCGAATGCGTCGTCGCAGTTAAATACCAATACATACCGACCAAGTTGTGTGCCGAGCGCCTTCACTGTTTCCGTCTTACCGGAGCCAGCGGGGCCAACAGGCGAGCCACCGAGCCGCGTGTGGAGTGCCTGCGTCATGGTGAGGTAACAGCGGTCCGTCAGTGTTGTCTGCACGAGGCGTTGGTACCAGCCAATGTACTCGAAGCCGTGTAGGAAGGCGGCGTCGGCCATGCAGCACTGCAGTGTCGCCCCGTCATTGCACAGATACAGGCGCAGAACGCGCATCCACTCAAACTCCTCGACCGATGTGATACGCTTGGATTCAACAACCCGCGAGACATCACGCTGGTAAACAGCAAGGGTAATGAGCTCTTCTATGGCGTGCCGCAAGGCGTGTGTCGCTCCCGTTGTGGTCGCGTCAGATGCGAGTCGATCGAGGAGTGCTACCATGTGTGCCACTGCTGCTGACGGCTCCCGCTTTGATTGCTGCTGCTGCTTCTCTTGCATCTTCCATGTGGCAAAGGCCTGCTCCTGCAGCTGCACCCACCACACCTGAAAGGCGAGGCAGACAACCTGCAGTGGGTACGATGTCAACCATGTTGTTGTCACTTGCTTGGCGGAGCTTAGGGACGCCACCGCCGATACCGTCAACTGACGTAGCGACTCCACCATGCCAGCCTCCACCTCCGCCAGCCACTCGTGCAGTGGACGGCCTTTCAACGCAATGTGACGTGACATCGGCACCTGCTCCCCCTCTGCGCTCGCGAAGCCCACCACATGCGTCCCCGCAGCCGCGGTTGCGCCATCGCCGTTGTTGCCGCTCTTCTCATCATTAACAATCAAACGGGCAAGGGCGGCAAACATCTTGGGTAGATGTTTCTCAATGAGGGCAGGGTTGCTACTATTGCCAAGTGTTTCCAGCAGGTCATCGTCGCCGACAAAGAAGAAACGGGGAAACTGACGACGCTTCATGTCCAAGTATGTGCTCAGTGCCCGCTGCACTCGTGCAAGCTGCCCCTCAAGACGTTCGAGCGCTGGCAAAAGTTTCTTGTCCTCAAGGAAATCCTGTGCCTTTACTACTGGTGGAGCACCAAAGCCAGCCTTGACGGGCATGAGACTCATGAACTCGCGGCTTGCGCGGTCGAACTGAATTGCGTCGTTGGGCAGCTGCATACGTATATCGGTGTTGCCGGTGAAGATTCCGTCGAGGTGCACCCAACGCCGCTGCAGCGACATGAGGACTTCTAGCAGCTGCCGCAGGAGGTTGAGGCGGTTGTCCCAATCGTTCACCATGGCGGTGACGTGCTGCGAGGTGAAAAAAGGACTTGAGCGTAATCCCTGGAACGAGTCGAGGTCGTCAGAGAGACGCTCAAAGACCAGATCCCATCCGCGGATAAGCACAAACTGCCGCTGGTACACCGTCGTGTTGAACTCGAAATCATTCCAGAAGGTGATGATGTGACCCAACTGTGTCTCCATGCGACGCTCGCCCTGTGCGAACTCCAGCACATCGTGGTAGATCTTGGCATTCGCCAGCGGATCGCTGCGCCACACGTCGCCGACGGTAAGCTCCTCGAGTCGCCACGGCACGTTTACCTGCGACTTGAGCGCGACCCAGTGCCGCTCCGCCCGCTGCAGCGGTGTCATGGCATCGGAACGCAACTCCTCCATGACACGGCGACAGGCCAGGCGGTTTTCAATATCGGACAGCAGCTCCTTGTAGGCCTTGTGGCTGCGGACGCCCTCTGGGAACCCCTCCACCTCCCGCTCCACCGCCAGGAGGTCGTCGTGCAGCTGTCGTGGCACCATTTCAAAAAATGGCGTGCGACCGAGCGCAGCAAGGCGCTGGTACGCCTGCGCAATATGGCCACACACCCACTGGAGCTCCTGCATGCGCGTCGTGACAGCTTCCAGCTTCGTCTCCACCATCTGCGGCACACCGAGGGCCTCCTGTACCACCATGAGCTGCTGCTGCTGCTCCTGCAGTTGCGCAGCCCGCTTCTGAAGCGCGACAAACTGCGTCTGCGCAGAGTCAGAGAGTTCCTCATGCAGCTCCCGCTGCTGCTGCGTGTCAATGACCTGCAGAGACAGGTCGAGTTCATCGATTTGGCGCCGTAGCGCATCCTCCTGCGTCTTGACAGACTCGCGCAAAAAAGGACGCCGAAACTCCAGTGCCTTGACTTTCCGCTCAATGAGGTCATGATAAGCACGGTATTCCTCTTTCACCTTTCGCACGTAGACCCATGATTCGGGGAGTGCAAATCCTTGTCGCTTCAAGTACTCTTCCGCAGGCACAAGTAAGTTGAGGCACTTTTCAGTTTCCTGCATGCCCGCACGGATATCCGGCAGATTGCAGAGGAACCGCGCTGCGTCACCAAGGTCGTTTATGACATTGCAATTCTCCGCCACGGTACGCTCCTCCATGACGCGATGGTAGCACGACTCCAGGTGTTTTTCCACCACATCGCGATAGCGTGAATGAATATATTGCGTCATGCTATCGAGTTTCCGCCCCAGCTCCTTCTGTGCGTCATCGGCGACAATAATGATGCCACCAATTAGCGTGCTCGGCTGTGTGAAATCCATCTGCCTGCTCGCCAACTCGCGTATCTGCCGCAGAGCATCACCCCACTTCTCGAGGTCATCCCCGAGGCGCTGCTGCAGAATTCCCATTTCTATGTTTAGCAACTGCTGGCCACGCTTCCACTGTGCCTCCACTTCAAGTGCATCCTGAATGCACTTATCAATCGCCTGCAGCGGCTCCGTAAGAGCCTGTGGGTCTAAACACTCCAGTAATCTATCATACGTTGCTGTTGCCGATATGTCTGACATCATAGACGTTGACTGCTGCTCTTGCTGTTGCTGTTGTTCTGGCAGCAAGGTTGACATCGTGTGGACCCACGCAAAGCAGCGGTTAAGCTCATTCACCCAGTGGTGCCGGCACGCCGCTGCCGAGAGCGAGAGCCCAATCTCCTTGTACACCACCCGCATACGCACACGCAGCGGCTTCAGATGGAACTCCTCCGTCTCCGTAGCCTTGTCGAGGAAGCGGGGGTCGCGGCCCATAGAGAGGAATTCATCCGTCCAGCGGCGGAGGTGCCCTTCCAACTGCCGCCCAATCGCCGTGTCGAGGCGTGGCTGCAGACGCTGCACCCACCAACTCGTGTTGGCGCATTTAAGAAATAGGCCCGCAACGAGCGTGCACATCTCCTCCACTCGCGCCACGATCGCCTCGGCTCGGTGCGGCTGACGACTGTGCAACTTCGCAATACCACGCTCCATCTCAGCTTCCACTTCCCGCACCTGTGTGGCCGCCGCACAGAAGGCGTACACACGCTCTGAGAGCTCCTGGGCTAGCTGAAGCACTCGCCCCTCGTCTGACCAGCGCAGTTGGGCACCGTCGAGTAGCTTCTGGTGCACTTTCACGTAGTCGTCAGTGGCGAGGTGCACCATGAGCTCGTCATCGCCGTTGAGCGCGGCCTCAAAGGTGCGGATCAGCTCTGTTAGGCAGTTGGCGGTGCGGAAGCGCTCTTCGTTATAGCGGAAGAAGGAACGCACGTCACTGACCAGCTGTGAGTGGTTAGTGAGAAGCCGCATGCTGTCCAGCATATGCAGATCTTGCAGGAGCGCAGACATGCCACGAGGAATGTGCGGCATCACGGTGCGTCTCGCTTCACTGTTGCTGGTGGAGCTGTTGTTGTCACGCACTTCAATAATCTGCATCACAGAACCCTTCATGGTCAACGTATCAGGGAACACGTCAAGTGCGGCGATGCGGCGGCGCACGTCTTCACACCACTGCACAACGCGCTCCTGCAGCCGCTGGGCAATGGTGTCGCAGAAGTTCTGCACATCCCGCACTTCGTGCCGCTCCGTCCCGCGGCCGTGGCTGACGCGCGTGAGCACCAGACGCGATTTGGCGTAGCCAAGGGATCTCGGGCCGTACTGCTGCACAAACTGCTGCGCCGCTTGAATGTAAGGGTCAAGCGACCACTCCTGCTCATCCTTGGCGTGCACCACCTCGAGGTATGCAAGCGCGTAGGCGGTGCCATGCACCTCCGAGTCTGCCGCCAGCTCTTGCGGGACGAGGTCTTCAAGCGGGAGGCCTAGGAACTGCGCGAGCTGCTCGTTGAGACACCAACGGTGTTCAATGGTGCGGAGATGCAACAGCTGGTGCCAGCCATGCTCGGAAATAGCATCGCAGCGTAAAAGATATTCCTCAATCTCCTGCCGGACAGATTTCTCCCACATCATACGGCCCACAGCGGGTGTCACGCCAAAGCGCGCAACGGCCAACCGCACTGCATCACGACAGCTCTCCGCGTCAAAGTAGCGCTCCCGTACGTCCTTCATCTCACGGTTGATTTGCTCCAGCAGTGCCATTTGGAAACCCGCCACCACCGCCTGGATCTTCTCACGCCGCAGTGGGCGGAAGCGTGAGTAGATGCGGTAGAGTGACGGACCACAGCCGATCTCGGCACCCACACCTGGCACTACCGTTGCGACGGCGGAAACTGCTGCGGAGGAGCCATTGCTGCTCATCTCCTGTGCAGTGGCGAGCATGGTTCCAACGAGTAGTGCAAGGCGCTCGTCAATGCTCGCCAGCTTGGACTCGTACGCGGCGAGGGCGCGGAGGAACTCGGCGGTTCCTACTGGCGTTACGTCCCATAGACAGCCAGACTCCGTTGTCGCTGTGGTGAAGCGATTATACGCTTCCGCGAGCTCTGTGCGGAATGAACATGTCGCGGTTGCCTTAAGGCTTCCATCCGCAAATGTCCGCCGCAGCGCACGCTCGTAGTGAAAGTGTTCATTGATGAAGCTCCACAGCTGCCGCGCACGTGACAAAATCAACGAGTAGTACTGGTGGGGGGCCTGCTTGCTGGCCCCCTTGCGAGTCTTGCTGCTACTGCTTCCGCCTCCATCGTCACCGCTGGCCTGCGTGGCCTGCGTCGGCTGTGGCAAGTAGCCCTCTGCGCGGAAGAACTCCAGCGACTGCAGGTAGCGCTGCTGCAGGTCGTGCAGCACCCCAATGGTCTCGCGCAGGCATTGTAGCTGCGCCTCGGGCGGGTCTATCCGCAGCACGTCATGGCTCACCACGAGTACAACGAACCGCTCTACCAATTCCCGCACGATACTCTCCAACAAGCGGATGCTCTGTGAGGCGGGATACCGTGTGGGCGAAATCATTGCAGTGAAGAGCTCCTCTACGAGTGCTGTGTAGTTCTTCTCCTCAACACCGTCAATCTGCTGGAATGGCACGCTACGCAGGTGATCCAGGTAATCACGCACCAGTTGCGTGTGGTCGCGGAACTCCACCTCATAGTTCGTGGCCACGCGCTGGCCAAGCAGGCGGTGCACGAGCAGCCACTCACGGCTCTGTATCTGTCGTTGCACATGTTCCACCCACCTTAGCACTGCCTGCCAATACGCCACCTCATCGCGGGCGTTGACAATCTCTTTGCCGTCCAACTTCGCATCCAGGACGGTGCGGCACATGTTGCGCACCGACAACACTTGGTACAGGAAGTTGGCGTCAGTGCTCTTCTCCGGCCCGAGCAGCTCAATCAACTCCTGTACATCTGCAGCTGGGTAAGAGGCACAAAGCTCAAGGAGCTCCGCGTGCACAAACTGCGTGAGGTCAACCTCTGTGAGAACATGATAGCTGGAGCGGATAGAGCTGACAAGATCCTGCGTCTGCGACCACAGTGTCGCCTCACGCTGGGCACGCAGAATGGGCTCATACACGCATTGCAGCAGCGCTTGCAGACCTTCCAGCGGCTCTCGCATGTCGACAGCGTGCAGGTCAAGCTGCCGCAGCGTTAACGGCACCGCTGCCTCCGTCTCCACTTCTCGGCTGTGACCCCGCCTCGAGAGGAGAATGCAGCGCACCATCTGTTTCGATGCTGGAGACGCAGCTGCTGCTACTGGTGTTACAACATGTTCCTTTACCGGCATGTGTGACGGGGCAACTGTGGCGAGGGCAGTCTCCGCCTGCCGCTGAAGAACAGCCGTCAAGTCGCGCGTTGCCACAACTTGCCGCCCCGCCAACGCGTCACCGCCCGCGTGATGGTCAGCAAAAAACTCACACAACGCTAAATGCGTTGCGGAGTGAATGCTGCTACTTCCAGCATTGCTGTTGCCACTGAGCAGACAGTGGTCTGCGTCCTCAGGGTTGTTTTTTAATTGCATGACAGGGAAAAGACAATCGCCACTGAGGTCCATGTGCTGCAGCGCCTCCCGCACCTGTTGCTCCGTTGCCGATTCCATCATCAACGCAACGAAGTGGATAGCATCCTCAGCAAGAAGCATGGCACCCCTGGTGTTACTAATGCTGCGTGCAATGTCAGGGGTGACAGACATGTGTTCGTTTAGTTAAAATTTTCCTTTTTTTTGGTGTGTGGGGGGATTCTTTCGCCCTTCACGCACGATCGTGGGAAGGGGGAAAAGGGAAACGAAGCCACACGACGCGGTTTGAGGAGTTGACTTCAACGCACACCCACTCACCCCTCTCCGTGCCGTCACCTCTCCGTTCCCGCTACAGCTATGGATATATACAAAGAACTGTATGCGTGTATGTATGTGTGTGCACGTGTGGGTACCTCGAACCTGGCGAGCACAAATCTGCAGAATGAACAACAACAGCAAGAAACGACTTTGTGGCCGAAGAGTTGAATTGACGCACACCACACAACAGTACGTGCGGCTCCAACTGCCAATAGAAGTACACACGAAACATTACCCTGCCCCTCCCCCACATGCACGCACACACACACGCCCTGCAAAAGCACCAACAACAACAACAACAACAACAACGAATGACAAGGCTCGCAAGGGGAAAAGAGAGGGCCGGCGTGAATGGGTTAATGAGGAACGATTGGTAAGTGATGCGAATTGTTGAAGCAACAAAGCGCACACACACACACACACACACACACACACACACAAACAAAAGAAGACAAACAACATCAACATCAACGCTGTAACAGACACACGGGCACCACGGCGGCCTCGACAAACGTGATGACCATCCACAACAACACAGGGAACTCGCTGACCTCCATAAAACACGAAAGAAACCATCAGAAAAAAAAACACAATCAATCAAGCAAACACACACACAGCCACACATAAAGAAAGAAAGAAGACTCGCCAAAGACCTCCACCCAGCTACCTTCCACCATTTTCGGTGGAATCGCGAAGTACAATTGTGGCGCGGACGGCGCGCTGGCATATACAGCACTTCTGCAGATCCTCACTGCAGGCCCTGCACACCGCGAAGTGCGCACACGGCCAGAAAATTACGTCCGCCTCTTCGCGCAGGCACAGCCAACACATCCGCACCACCTCCTGCGCCGGTGCCGCGAGCGAGTACNCCAGAAAATTACGTCCGCCTCTTCGCGCAGGCACAGCCAACACATCCGCACCACCTCCTGCGCCGGTGCCGCGAGCGAGTACGACACGCCACCGATGCGGTACGAGGCGTGCCGCCGACCCATGAACGAGTCACGACCGTTGGCGTCGCGTATTTCTGTCGTAGCACCGGCCGAGTGGCTGTTGCCGTCGCGGCCACCGATGAGGACGCGCTCCTCGCGGTACTGTACGAAGGTACGGTCGGAGATCTCTGTGACGGCATACAGGTCGCTACCCACGCGCATGTATTGCAGTGTCATTGGTAGCTCTACCCCACCACTGCCACGCATTGCGTCCAGTAGCGCCGATCTGCCCTCGCGCGTGAACGTCCGCTGATGATTCACCGCGTCGTCTCCGTTCCGCGCATCGCGCCGCTCGTCCCCGTCGTAAACAAGAGTTTCCTCCATGCGGCTCCACTCAGCCGGATCGTGGTTAGAGCTGCCCGCCGCGAGCATGGCGGAGGAAAAGGACCCAAAGGAGGAGTATGCATGAGGCCGGAGGGGTTGCTGCTGCTTTTGAGGCTCACCGACATCGTGTGTGCTCGCCTTCCTTGGGAGTGCTTCGCCCTTTTTACCTTCTGTGCTGTACACACACACAACACAGTCAATCGGCTCTGTTTTGTTTTGACTCACTCCGCGTCGACGTTCACGACGAGAGACTTCACGCCGAACGGGTGGAGCCTGCACGGCGATCATGATGGCAAGAGCAAGGGGATGCATACGCCTTTGCCCCCTTTCTACGCCTTCCTCAAGTGGTGAAGACATATTCTGCGGTTGTTGTCCTTTTTTGCTTCCCTGCACCATAACTTCCTTTCGAGTAGCCGACGTGGCCTCGCAAAGGGCCGTGGCCCCCTTAGGGGTGATGCCAGTGGCCGTGTGGCAGTTCTGAATGGCTGCCAGAGCGAGTTCCACATCATCTGTCGGTACAAATGCAGGGGAAGAAACACCGGAGTCTATGATGCATGGTTTGACGCACATAAACACCTCGTATGTCATCGTCGTTGCTGTTGTATTGCCTGTACGCACTCGTTGCTCAAACAACGATGAACGCCGGGAATCACGTTGACTCGCAAGGACGCCGTGGAGCTTCCCTCCCTCGATTTCAACCGAAGTAGCCTCACGAGGAAGCACCCTGGTAATGTTGGTTGCTGTAGTGGTCGTAGGGTTAATACCAGAAGTAGCGTTCCTCCAAGGAGCCTCTGCCGTGTCCACCGCAGCACCTGCAATACCCTCCTGCTCTGAGCTGGCGCTGCTTCCACGGATGCTTCGTGGCTCCGTTGCCGGTGCCTCATCCTCGTCAATCAGGTTTCTAGGCGTATTGACAGAAGCACTCGAGGTGGAGTCCATCCACGCTGATGATGACGACTGCTCTGACGCCGACGCCGACGCAGAAATAGCTGTAGCGAACGCACCATCATTGGCTGTTTCGGTCGTGTCTCGCGGTCCGCAGCTTTCTTCCTGGGGCAGCATATGTCCCTGCTTCTGCAGCTGCGGCTGTTGTTGTTGTTTTTCCCCCCTCACACCTTCTCGCATGCTGCGCACAGCCGCGCCCTCCATCTCCGACGCATCCAAAAAGGTCTCTGTAACCATATTTGACTTCAAGCTGCGGTGAAACGAGCGCGTGCAGCCCAATGTGGTGGTAAGAGAGCCGAATGATTCACGCCGCGATTGCGAGACTTCGTTTCCCGGCGGCATGAGATTTCGATTTTGAGGTTGACGTCGCGCACTCCTAGAGTGCGTCACCGCTCTTTCTCTAAAGGAAAGGCCCGACACGGATGACGGCAAGAGACTATCACGCGATTGAAAGCGGGCACCGAGTCGTTGTCTGTTGTGCCAATCAATCAGCTTCATTCGCTCACGAACGCAATTGGCCTCAATCTCAGGCGTGTAGTGGCAGTGATACGAGAGAGGCCACACACCAAACGTCTGCGTCGTGCCGATCGTGATGGCTCTCATGAGGTCTACATCGTTCGCGCCAATGATACAGGCACAGCGCAGCTCTACAGGGGCGCAAGCAGCAGCACTAGTAGCAGCAGTAGCATTAGTATTCGTAGTGTCGGTAGCTGTTGCTCCTGCACCCATCACTTCAGCGCCCAGGTCAAAGAACGGCATGGTGTCCTCACATGTTAGATCCTCACCGAACAGCGACATGGAGATCATTTCTGTTGGCACAGACGCCAATCCTGGCTTGTCATGGCGGCGGAGCCACGTTGCGCCGAGTTGCGACGAACCCTCCAGCCGAAATGCAACTGAGAGTTGACTGCGGGCCATCAGCTGCGCCAGCTTGGCACTGCCATCATCACCCCACGGGAGATCCACACTCTGCAAGGATCCACGGCGGTCACAACTCTTCCTTCTCGGAAACTCTGCAGTCGACTCGGAACCAATTTCACCCACCACATGACCATGACTGTTTTGCACAACACACTGCCCCTCCTGCTCCTTCTTGCCGGCGTCCAGCGACAACGCCGTCGAAAAGAGCCCCCCGTCGCGGATTCCCGCTCCATTGTCCTTGTGCTCCTCTCGGTCCGATGGGGTCTCGCCGGGCGCGGTGCCGAGTTTCACGTACATCTTCGAAAACGGCGAGGCGTGCAACTGCAGCGGCAGCGCGAGGCCGTAAACCATCGACGCGTCATTCATCACGAGCCCTCTTCTGACCAGCTGCGTGGAGGCGATCTCGCGCAGAGGGCGCGTGATAAAGACTAGGAAGGGAATAACAATGGGAGGCCTGTGCTGTTGAATGGAACGGCGAATGGAGAAGAGCTCCAACAGCGTCAATACATTCCGCAAAGTCCCAACCGCAAGAAGAAGGAATACCAATATAACAAGAAAATCCACTAGAGCGACAAACATGATGATACCCACTAAGAAATCAAAACAAAAATATAAATAAGAAAACACAGACTGATAGAGAGCAATGTGGGGGAGGGGGATAGACAGATAGATAGATAGAGAGAGAGAGAGAGAAAGAGATACACAGACAGAGGTGGTATGCACTCCTCACACAGGGAAACGCGAGATGAACATTTCTTCTGTACAGAACTGCTCCGCTCATGTACCCGCCCCGCTGTTCCTCCACAACCTTCGCCACCCCGCACCAGCGCCTGTTTCTTGAGCTGAAATAATGCAGCAGTACTGAATCGGTAATGATACGAGGAAGGAAGTGCAGCTCTTTTGCCTTAATAAAGGGAAAGACAAAACGCCACTCAACACACCCTTGCCCAACGAGATGGCACACCGTGGGATATGCGATCCATGGATTTGCACACAACAAGAATTAACCAAAACAATATAACCTGACACCGAAACCCCCAGCACCCATTTGACTGTGAAGACACAAACACCCTCATATGCCCCCACACCCCTCAAAGGAAGAAAAAAACAAAAAAAAGCCACACACAGGAGTATACGGAGAAGTAGTCAAACATGCGCCAAAATCTCCTGCAGCAATCATCCAGGTAATGCGATGAAACGTACAGCAAACACCCGAGCATGGAGGTCTTGCACATTGTAGTCGCGACGCCCAGTGCCGCCCACAAAGTCGTCATCCGCAACACGAGCAAATAACCCAAACGAGCCCGACTCGTCAACAAAAACGATAATTCCCATGAGAAGACCTTCAACACCACTTGTGGGCAAATTAACTCGGCGGGTCGGTTAACTGTGTGATACACATGCCGCCTTTTTCTCGCGCCGTTGTGCCCACCTACTCCTTAATGCGGCTGCTCACGTCAGGGGGGACCTCTGCAGGCTTCGTCGTACTTGGGACACATTGCGGCGGTGGCGTGCGTTTGTATGTGCTGTAAAGCTCTTCTCCAGAATGGTCTATGCCCTAGCCCCGAAAACAGAAACAGGATAAAAGAGGAGGGGCATCAGCAGTGCCTACGTGCAGGCACACCTCAGTCAGTTCCACACAGAGACGGACGCTCCAGCCACCCCTCAGCTGCCCACCGCTGCGCAGAAAACGCAGACGATAATCAACACGTGAAGAGGAGAAAGCGTTAGGCACCAAGCCAAGCAGGGGCAGCACTGAATTCTCCACGCCAGTGGAGCGGCGCTGGAGGAGGACGGGTGAGAGGGGGAGTGGCATGGGGTGGGAGAAGAAGGCGATAATCTCCGCTGTGCATGAATCGCCCCGGGCACCAGGCGGCCGGACAGGGCGGGATTAATACAGCGTCATCGTGGTGTTGGATTGCGGTCATTGCAGATCTTGGTTTTGCAGTCAATTGGCTTCTCGTCACAGCACGTCTCTCGACAGGGTGAGGATAGAATTGCTTTTGTAATCATATCGCTTGGTGGGGCAGAACCGCCAGCGGAAAAACGGTGGCCGCTAACGCGTGAAGAGCCGCCAGCACTAAGCAAGGGCGGCGGCAGCAGCCGCAACGTTAGTAACGAAGCACAACGCATAGCGTGAGCTGCGCCACCACACGGAAGTGACTTTGGGGTGCAGTGTACGATGCACGTGAGTCCCAAGCCCCTCTTCTGTTGTCATTGTGCCGCGTTCATATTCAGCACTAACCGTAAACAAAGCAGAAAACGAAAAAAAAATGAATAAAGGAGAAATGCCCTTAGCACATCACCTACACCAGACTCCGGCGGGGGTATCACGTCCTCTACACATTGGCTGACGCAAACTTAAGAAACTATGTCCCCCCCCGCGCACATGGGCAAGTATCGATCCCTGCTGCTCGACACGCGTCAACAATGGACACAGGCTGCGGCGCTCAAAGCAAACAGTCAAACAACAAAAAAACATCCCAGCAGAACTCCCCGGCGAACAAGCAATTTTCATTGATACCCCTATAGTAGTTTTTTTTTTAAAAGTGCAGTTTGAAAGCGGTGTGTACAGATTACAACTTATATAGCAAAATGATGAAGAACTAAACGATCATTAACACATCAACCAACACCAGCATCGCAAGAAGAAACCAATTTTACTTTTCCATACTTTTCCCGGAATTGCACAGCTAAATCCGCGGCAGCGCCGCCATCGCTGTTTAGAAATACATCTGCACCCATACTCTGCGGCATCACACGATGCTCGTGGTAGATCAGGGAGCCATAAGAACTGAGGTGGCGATGAACACAAACAGAACCGACATTAGCAGAGCAGCCGCAATGCTGCCGTCGGAGTTACGTTTTCTTTCACTCTGGTGCTTTTCCGTCACGCGATCCAACAGCAGCGCTTTCTCATTGTCGAATAAATGTGGTAGCAACCCCCCCGCAGCCGCATTATTCCCCTTAAGGTTTTTTTGACTCACATCGCCCTTTTCTCGCGCCTCGGTGCGAACCTCCCCGTTAATGCGGCTGCTCCCGTCAGGGGCAACTGTGCACACTTCGTCGTACTTGGGACACACAATGCCGCCGCTGGAGAAGGTCACCCTAGGACGCAGAACTCTGCCCTCAGGGCAAGTATACCACTCGTCGTCGCCGCGGTACCGCACCAGCACACCCGTAGTCGTGCACCGCACCTCCGCGCACACGTCACCAACACGCGTGCCCTCCATCATCAGGGATTTCCCTTTTAGACACACTGAATCCGGTCCAAAGATGCTAGAGAGAATCATCCCCTCATCCCCGGTAGTACACCAGAAGGGGTCACCGGCCGGCGCAACCAACGGGCAGTAGTCCATCAGCGCATTATCGGGACCCCCTTTGCGAGGATCAACGAAATAATTGAAATGAGACGGAAGGGGGCTTTCCTGCAGCGAGAGGTAACAGTACCCCAGAGCCAAACGATGGGACGTACACTGCAACACATCCGTGTCCGTGTCGGTGCAGAACATGTGCGGGTACCGGGTAACTCCATTCTCCACGCACTTGCCTGTGAGCAGCTCGCAGCCGGAGTTGTTGCCCCAGGCCATTGGCTCCGCCATGCTCCAATTTGCCACATAAAAACCGGTGTCCTCGAACGCCGAAAGTGTCAGAACCGAGTAGAAACCGATGCCGTTGACACCAGCCATCAGCTCGTCCTTCGCGTTGCGCCGCTCGAAGTGCGACAGTGCCGTTCCATCACCACCCTCATCCTCCAGCTCAATGCCAATCGCAGTATCGCAATTGTAGTGCTTCCTCGCCATCTCAACCGCACGCTTGGACGTCAATGCAGAGATGTTCTTCTTGCCCCGAATCTCCAACTCAAAGGTCAGCATCCCACGAGCGAGAAACACTTCACTCTCAAATCCAAGAGCGTGTGCCATCTCGTGGGCGGCGATACGCACGACGCGCAGCGTGTCGGCAATGTGGTTGGGGGAGAAGTTCATCACACCCACCGCAGGGCGTCCATCAGCTATTGACGCGCAGGATATAGCCCAAGCAACGACGCCGCTCTCTGAGGTAGGCCCAGCGGCAACGTACAGGACCATGTCATGGTCGGTGACGCCGGGGTTGTGGTGGCTAGCAGGGATACTGAACGGTGTGCAGATGTGAGGAGCGGAGAATATCGGCACCACCAGGTGGCCGGTCACCGGCTTTACGAGGAGCCGATCGGTGTGGAGCTTGACCGCCTCGGGGATGCTTCTGCGCGTCAGGATGGCCTTCTTCGCCGCGGTGAGAACCTGGCTCGCACCACAGAGCAAACGGCTACCCTCGAAATCCGGACGAGCGTCCATTGACGCAGTGCAGTATTGATTTTCATTCTCCAGGTCCACGGTCGACACAAGGACGCGAAGCGGCGCCCAGCCGTCTGCGGTGGCCGCTGTGTACGCCTGCCACGCGCCCTGGCCCGCCCGCGACACCTCCCGCACTACCGTGACGGGCTGCTCGCCGGCACTCCTCTTCCTCCTGCCAAAACCGCACGTGTGCTCCGCGTGGACGAAACACGCATTTAGGTAGGAGCACAACAACAGCAGTAGCAGTGTGACGTGCAACAGAGACCACATTGCGGCGGTGGCGTGCGTTTGTATGTGCTGTAAAGCAACTTGTGCGAATTGAGTGGTGAACCTGACTGTATAATAGGGAAAGCAGTTGTATAGAGAAGGAGAAATGCGGAATTCATCAGCAGAGCAATATACAATACTGAAGACATAGGTGTCCTGACCTTTGATGGGATGCCATGACAGAGGAGAATCTGAGGGAAGGGATGCATGTTTCGTGAAGGTCACGACAATACCGGTGTATTCTTGCGGCCAGGTTTTGCTGCCAAGACTATCCACGCTGGTATCCCGCATCTCCTTAAGATAGTAAAGAGGCAAAACAGGATACAACTGGCTCTCGCAAAAGATGAGAGAAGTGACCTATGGGCACGTAATGTTTATAAGTGCGTTCGTGCATAAGTGAAAAAAAAAAGCATCTCCTTTCGTTCAGGTGGGAGGGTGTGAAGCGTCTCTGCTGCTCTGGGAAAGGAGGCTTTGTTTTTTGTTTCATTCTTGCCTCGCTGTGTTGCTGCGTTGTCCGTCATTGGGCTCTTTCCCCGCACACCGCCCCCACCCCCTGATGCGGAGTTCTCACTGCGGGCTGTCCCCGTCAAAGCACTACTTCGTGCATATATGTGCAACGCACCTCCTCACTTCAGAAATGACGGGACATGTGGGGATTCGAGTGTGCCGCGATCTCGGATAAAAGAAGAATAATATGTTGTGTTGCCCCATGATAGCCGAGCGGTGATATCTGACGAGGTACAAATCCATTGAAATACCGTTCGCTGCATAAGAATATATATTTCTTCCGCTCCACTTCTTTGGCCATTCATCTGCGTAGGGTGTTTCTCACTCCTTGAAATGCTTGACTGGCATGCAAACACACAGCGCAGTAAATGTCCCCGCTCGTCTTGCTTGGTACGGTAAGCGGCAAATACAATCAGCGTCCCAGCTTCACTACCACCAAACAGTCAACAGTGGCAACAACAACAGCAGCCACCCACCCACACACAAACGAAAAAAAAAAAATGCCACAGCATATCCTCAGCACAGCTACACGACGATGATTATATTCTACAGAGACGAACCTATTTGTCATCACTTCGAAGCCGCGTGAAGGGTTCGTATCCAGAAATAGGAGACTTAGCATCCTTCCAGTCTGGTAATGACCTCTGCCCTTAGCCTTTCTTCACGATTCGTCGTGCTTCTAACACTCATTCTTCTCCAAGCATTTCACTTTTTCAGATCCACGACACTCACATAAAGCAACAGCATAAGGAGTTCCTGGCCTCACTTTGACGCACGGGCACAGCGTACTTCATTGCAGGCACACGCTCGACCTTGTGCGCTGCTGTCTCTACTGCTGACAAGGTCAACTCAAGGAGCTGCAAGAGGGTCGGAGGGGATCCATTGGCTGTCGCCTGTCGCGCGCGGACAATAATATTGGCGACAAGCACATTCAGCTCTGCCCGCATGCATGCAAGCGCACGTTCAATGCCCGTTGCCGTCGCGAGGTCCAGTGTAATGCCGAGTCGCATCTTTTTCAACTGCTGCTCGGCATTAGCACGAAGTTCCCGCTCCTTTCGCAACTCCAGCGCCAGAGCTACTGCCGAGCCGTCACTGTGGCTGTCCATCTCCAGCTGCAGCTCCTTCGGCGTGTATTTGCAGCTGCTGACGGTGCGCCCCATTTCCTCCGGATCGGACAGGATAGAGCAGAGCCCATCGTCCTCCTCCGAGCCGCCGCGAAAGATGTGTGAGCGGCGAGAGGAGCCGAGCGACGCCGACTCCATCACACTGCTGGATCGACCGCTGGGGAGCATCGGCAGAAGAGGCGGACTGACACGCGCGCTGTTGCCACAAGAAGCGGTGGCGACATTACGGCGCCGCAGAGCCGTCCACTCGCTGGCAGTTGCGATGGACGGCGGGAGCTGCCACAGTGGCCGCTCCTTTGCCTCCTCCAACAACAGGTAACTCGTCTTGAGGTACCAGTGACGGAGCACATCGTCAGCAAAGTTGGTGGAGGCTTCAAAGGTCGCATTGTGGCCACCGACTTCACGTGGAAGCACCGCGCGATCGATGTATTTCTGAATATCTGCGCGACTGACCATCTGCACCACACGCCTTGCCTCAGCTGACTCGCCCGCAAATGTCTCCTTGATTCCCTGCCGCACATCCCACGAGGCCTCAAAGAGCAGCACCAGACCAATAAGACGTGGGTAGTACTTTTTGACCACTGTGAAAATGGTACTCATGCTTGTAAGGACAGACTGGTTGGCGTGCCAGGAAGAGCTTTCCTCGTTTACTAATACGATGAACTGCTGCTGCTGCTGCTGTGGCGACGGCAACGGAGAAGGTAGAGGCGCTGCACTGCCACTTCTCGGCCCATGCGACGGTGCCGTCGCCGACGTCTGGACACAGTACGCCAGCATGTATTCCATTACCAGCGTAACGAGTCGCTGCATTTCTTGCGTATCAATTGCCGACTGGACGAAGTGTTGCATACTCAGGTACAGAACTGGGCGTCCTAACACGTCACAGCCAATGATAGACACCGCTCCGCTTCGTAGTGCCTCCAGCATTGGGGCGGTGATGCGCAGGGACGGCAAGCTCTCCTCGAAGACACGCCGCTGCTTCAGCATCGCCACCGCCTCCGCGACGGAGTAGTGCACCGCGCCCAGACAGCGCAGGAGGTACGCGTCCGTCGTGCCATCGGCGGCTCCCGACGCTACCCACCCGAGTACGCGCTTGAGTTCATGCAGCACCTGCTGCTCGCGGGTGTAGCCGGCTGTGTCGACGGCGTCGTCATGCAGACGCCGCCCATTTGTTGCTCCTCGGGACGCCATCTTCTTTCTAACGCCGCACGACACAACAGGGACGTTTTTTTTTACAAATTCTTTCTTTCACACACACACACACACACACACACACACACAGAGAGAGAGAGAGAGAGAGAGAGAGAGAGACATGGGAGAAGAGAAATGCAGCAGTGCAGGTACAAGAAATCGCGGCATCACCCACCAGGCAACAACACCGAAATGCACCAATAAACACAAAAGGGAAATTGGGGGCGCCGAATCCATCAAACCACAAAAAAGAAAGGCGTGGTGCGCCCAGAGAGAGAGAGAGAGTATTCAATACTCCCCTCTCCATCTCCCCTTGCATTTAGCCAAGCAGCAGCACACTGTACATGTGCCGCAGAGTGAAGTACATGCAGCAGCCCAGCCCCGTCCAGCTGCTATAGCCACAGTACTTCATGCGCTTGTACAGCTTGAACTGCTGCATTGAAGAGAGCATCCATACCCACGAAGCCACCATTTCAAGCTGAAACACGTTCTTCTCCTGGAGGTTCATCTCTGTTGCTACCTCGCGCCGCCTCGTCGCATCCTCCAAGTCAAAGACCTTACGCACCTGCATGTTAAGTAGGTAGGTAGTACCCGCCGCCCACATTGACAGGCTTGTGAGCGCCGTACTCTGACCGTGGACATGCAAGAGCCCACTGAAGGTGTACGCTGAGACCGCCAACACCACGTCCGCGATCTTGTGCCTCTTGTTGCTTCTCAAAAATGAGCTCGAGCTCTCCTCCGACAGCTGCCGGTGTGCTGCCCCCTCCACAACGTTGCGGATGTCATCCTCCTCAATAGCCACACGCGCCTTGGCGGGGCTGTCAGGAGAACTGCTGGCAGATGTGGCCGTAGTTTTTGATGCCATTATCTAATCACACCCAAACGTTTTTTTTTTCGTGTTGTTGTTGTTGCTGTCTTTCAGAGTTAATTCCGTATTGTCTGGCTACAGTTACCGAATATGTGATGATGCACCGCCAATACCCAGCGCTGTCTGGTGAAATAAAGAAAAAAAGAAACCAGGATAGGCTCTCTGTCCACTTTTCACACAATACCCTGCTTTTGTTGCTGCTGCTACGGCGGCAGCCTTTCGTATTGGTAGCTTCATCAAGGCAAACGCATTGAGGGAAAGAGAAAACACCAAAAAAAAAATAAGTAGGACATAATTAGATACAAGGGAAGTACAGAGACACATGCGCATATATATATATATATATATATACATGCCTTGACACACAGCCGTAAACACAAAACAACACCAAAAGGAAATCCCAAGGTAGATACCCACCGCCTGCAGATGTATGCATCCAAGGGGTGGTGCCAATAGTACAGGAAGTCACCGCTGGGGGAGAGGAGCAACACACTCCTCTCCTCTCTCTATGGTAAGAAAAAGAACGCGCTTCAATAAGTATGACACAGCCACGGACACAGAGACACACAAACATACTCACAGAAACATAACAGCATCCCAAGGCATAGGGCGCTGAATCCTCCCCTCGCTCAGCGCTGATGAAGTTGTGTCCACCGCTCTTCTTGATTCCGCACGTACTGATGCCAGCGTTGCGACTCGTCGGCGAATCGCCCACACTCCGTTTCAAGCTCCTCTCGCAGCTGCCGCAGCGCTTCCGCACGGTATGCACTATCGCCAGCAGCAGGAGCTAAAGAGGCCAAAGGATGCCGCGCTGCTTCTGGCAGCCCTGTCAACGGACCCTGCGACGGCACGGCCGCAACAGGGGTGTTGCTGGCTGTCACGTGCTGTCGCAGCGGTGGTGATAGTGGTGGTGGCAGCTGCTGCGATGGGCCGTTACCTTCAGGCAGAAACCGCGCACCTGACACGCTGCTGTGTGGCGTGGCACCCTCCCAGCAACAGGTTGGGCGTGATCCACTGAGAGAAGACAGCCGCACCGTTGTTGCGTCTATTGGCACGGTGTGAGCAGCGGCATTCGAGGAAACAACATCCCTAACAGCCTGCTGGGCGCCACTCCGCAGCTGCTCAATGTACGCCTGCAACTCTGCCAGACGCTGCACGCTGAAGCGGTGCTGCTGCTCAGTGGTCTCGCAACGCACCTTCCAGCGACGCAGCTCTTCATTTTCCTCCTCGAGACCGCCAGCACCTGGTCTCCGGAGAGGCTGCGGGAGCAACGATTGGGTCAGTTCCGCCACCTTTCTTTCCTGCTCTTGCTGCATCTTTCGGACCGCCTTTAGTTCTTCCTCCTTTGCGTGGAGGAGAGTAAGCGCTTTTGTTAATTCACTCTCCCGCTGTTGTTGTTGCAGTTGACTGAAGTCTGGTCGGACTGTTCCGTCCCCAGCCGTTTGCGGGCCTGAAGCCTTTGCCGCAGAGAGCCTGGCCTCGAGTTCTTTGCACTGTGATTCGGCGGCTGCTCCCCGTCGCACCTCCGCCTCTCTGGATAGCAGGACGTGCTGCAAGAGGGCGCGGTGCTGCGGATCCAGCGTTGAACCAAAGTGCTCATCAACCCATGCCTTCATCGTCACACTCGTCGAATCCCACGGAACTGCTCTAGACGTCGATGATGGTGGTGGCAGTGGTGCTGGTGCTGCTGGAGCTTGCGCCACGGGTGCAGGTACGGCTTGTGGAAGCGGTGGTACAGTAAAGGTGGGTAGTGGTGGCAGTGGTGGTGGAGCTGGCGCCACGGGTGCAGGTGCGGCTTGTGGAAGCGGTGGCACAGTAAAACTCGGTGGGGGTGGCTGCTGCTGCTGGTGCTCTGGTTGCATCGGCGGCTCCTGCTTTGGCTGTGACAGCGGCTGAGCTGCCTTCTCTATGCCCATCGTGTAGGCAGCCATCACTCCTGCGGGAAACGGTGGCGCCGTGTCCTGTGTGGCTGGTGGGGGCGGAAGCGGTGGTGGTGCCTCATTCTCATCCCGCTGAGTAATGGTGTCAAACATTGCTTCTAGCATCTCGTGGTCGTCTTGACGAAGACGGAAGAGCAGCGATACAATCTCGTCCTCTTGGTGGGACCGCAGCTGTTCTTCTTGTTCTCGCGAGAGCCTCTCTTCTTCCTGCTGTCGCTGCTCTAATCCGCGCACATAAGCGTCTGCCTTCTCTAAAAGCAGTTTCTCACGCAGCGCGTTGATTACATCAGCCGGCGTCGGCTCAGCGGAGGGCCCTCCGCCAGTAGCAGTAGAGGCACCAGGTGCTGCTGTTGCTGTTGTTGAAGTTCCCACTTCCGCTGATTGAACTGTCGGTGGAGCGAGCGCTGGGGAAATGTTAGACGGCTGCGCTGTTGGTACTGCCACTGAAGCAGCGGCTGCAGGTGAAACGGCACTCGTCATGGAGACACCTGACTGTTGCACAGGAAGCTGTTGCGGTCCAGCTGCACCAGCAGATGCTGAAACAGAGCCAGACGCGCCCAATGGTGGCGCCCCGTTGGCACTCGTTACGGGTGGAGTGTCCAACAGAGATGTCGTCTGCATGGCGGCTTCCACTGCAACGGCTGTGGTGTGTGGGCGTTGTACATCGGCGGCCCCTTCAGTCGCTACTACAGCACTTTGCGGCACCTCACTTGCCTGTTGTGGTTGCTGCTGCTGCTGTGGCTGTGCCGGAGTTGCAACGGCGGAAAGAGATGGTTGTGGTTCTTGTCGCTGCTGCTGCTGCTGCTGCTGTGCGCTGGTGTCAAATTGTGACAGGAGTGTTGACTGCATCGCAGGCTGAGCAGAGGTGATGATGGGACATGGAACGGACGGCAATTCATGCGTGCGTCGCAAGTCGAAGGAAAGCCTCGAGACGCCGCCGTATTCATCCGCCATGGTCAGACCGCGCTGCTGTTGTCTATGACTATCGTCTGCACGGCTTGCGCTCCGGCTAGCGGATGGCAGCTGCGGCGACAGAGACTCCGCTCGGTGAAGAAAAGAGGAGAGCATCAGCGATGCCTTCGCTGGACTAAAGGCAGTACCATATTGTGTACTCTGTACGCCCCGTACAGGTGACGACGTCCCTCTAACTGTGCCCTCCCCGGGCCTCGCGAGGGGATGCTCTTCTGTTGCTGCTTCTCGTACTGGACTCAGGCGCCTTGCAGATGTGCCAGGTGCTTCTGCCTCAGCGGCGTCTCTCTTTGAGGTGTGAAACAAGTGGTGGTATCCCTGGCAGCAGGAGCAGCAGCACGACTGCGGCCGTCGGTGGCTGGTCCCGCCATCCGTGATGTCCACCTCCACGCCCTGCACCCGGTGCAGCAGCCACGCCTGCGCGGCGGGGTCCAGCGTCGCCATGCCAGCGCTCTCACCGCGTGGGGGCGGTGGGGCGCAGCTGCAGAGAGAGTGGCCGTGTCGGCAGCTGCTCGCTGCTCGGCCACGCGACTCCATGCGGTGCTGCAGCCGTCGAAACGCCGCCACATCCATGATAATACTATCCAGGTGAGCGATGGGGAGCTTTGCGGAAACGCGATTGATGCTGCCCCCTCTGCTATATCAGGCACCTCACCTCCCCCCCTTATTCCCTCCGTCTATTTGTTGTGTGTATGCGTACATGTGTGTGTGTGTGTGA